TGCTCCTTAGATCCTATATCATCTCTCACTCTCGCCCTGATCTCAGCCTTAATTAAGAGTCTACCCACCTCCCTTACCTACCTGCCTATCCTTCTGACTCACCTGAAACCCTTGGATATTTAGTTCCCAGTCATCACCACCCTGCAACCACGTTTCTGCAATGGTAACCAAATCATACCCCCTTTTCTGATGAAGGGTCTAGGCCCGAAACGTCAGCCTTTCTGCTCCTATGATGCTGCTTGGCCTGCTGTGTTCATCCAGCCCTGCACCTTGTTGTCTCGCATACCCCCTTGTGCTGATTTTCGCAACAAGTTCATCAATTTTGTTTCGAATACTATGGGCATTCAAATAAAGTGCCCTTATACTCATTGTACTCATTATACTCATTGTACTCAGTATTTTCTAAATGGGGAGAAAATTCAGAAGTCTGCAGTGCAAAGAGACTTGGGAGTTCTAGCCCAGGATTCTCTCAAGGTAAACTTGCTGTTTGAGTCAGTAGTCAGGAAGGCAAATGCAATGTTGGCATTTATTTTGAGAGGACTTGAATATAAAATCAGGGATGTACTACTGAGGCTTTATAAGGCTCTGATCAGGCCACATTTGGAGTATTGTATGCAGTTTTGGACCCCATATCACAGGAAGGATATACTGGCCCTGGAGCGGGTTCAGGGGAGGTTCACGAGAATGGTCACTGGAATGGAAAGCTTAACATATGAGGAATGTTTCAGGACTCTGGGACTATATCATTACGTGTTTAGAAGGATGAGGGGGTATCTAATTGAAACTTACAGAATACTGAATGGCCTGGACAGAGTGGAGGTTGGGAAGATGCTTCCATTGGTAGGAGAGTCTAGGACCCGAGGGCACAGCCTCAGAGTAAAGGGAAGACCTTTTAGAACGGAGATAAGGAGAAACTTCTTCAGCCAGAGAGTGGTGAATCTATGGCATTCACTGCCACAGAAGGCTGTGGAGGCCAGGTCATTGAGTACTTTTAAGACTGAGATAGATAGGTTCTTGTTTGTGAAGGGGATCAAGGGTTACGGGGAGAAAGCGGGAGAATGGGGCTGAGGAACTTATCAGCCATGATTGAATGGTGTAGCAGACTCGATGGGCCGAATGGCCTAATTTCTGCTCCTATATCTTATGGTCTTATGGTCTTATTGTACCTATAGAATCTAGTAATCTTCTTGTCTTTTGCATTTGATTCTGTCCTCCAATTTTACTTTTGTCTTTTTAACTTTTGCTCTGGTCTCTGCATTGCTTCCTTCTGCCTTTCTGCATGGACTCCGATCCTCCTGCCACTTTAGTCTGTCCTTTCTCACAGTCTCCCTACTCATTGCATCTACCTTTACACCAACACATCCATCTTCTGGCCTAACGCTCTGGTTCCCATTCCCTGCCAACCTAGTTTAAAGCCTCCCCAATACCTCCAGCAAACCTGTCCACAAGGATATTGGTCCATCTCGAGTTCAGGTGTAACCCGTCTCTTTTGTACAGGTCATATTTTCCCCAGAAGGGGTCCCAATTGCCCACAAATCTGAAACCCCGCCCCTGCACCAACTCTTCAGCCATGTATTCATCTGCCATATCTTCCTGTTCTTGCCCTGATTAGTGCATGTTACAGGTAGCAATCCAGAGATTACTACCCTTGAGGTCTTGCTTTTTAGCTTCCTTCCTAGCTCCCTTTCAGGACCTCATCCCTTTTCCTAGCTATGTCATTGGTACCAATGTGTACCACAACTTCTGGTGGCTCTCCTTCCCCCTTAAAAATCGTGTAGACTCGATCCGAGATATCCCTGACCCTGGCACCTGGCTCTTTTTGAACAAAATAGAATGTATCTGCAAATACAAATTCACCCCATTGATTTATATTTGTGTGTGTGTATGAGAGTGAGAGTGTGTGTGTGTGTGCACGCGTGTGTGTGAGTGAGAGTGTGTGTGTGTGTGTGAGTATGCGTGTGTGTCTGTGAGTGAGAGTGTGTGTGTGTGCATGTGTGAGTGAGAGTGTGTGTGTACATGTGTGAGTGACTGTGTGTGTGTGCATGAGTGTGTGTGTGAGTGAGAGTGTGTGTGTGAGTGACAGTGTGTGTGTGTGTGAGTGAGAGAGAGGTTGTGTGTGTGCGCGCGCTTGCGCGCACGGGTGAGTGAGTGTGTGTGTGTGCACGTGTGTGTGCACGTATGTGTGTGTGTGTGTGTGTATGAGTGTGTATGTGTGTGTGTGTCTGTGTGAGAGTGTACAGTGTGGTTGGGTCACCTGTAGTGTGACATGAATCCAAAATCCCAGTTGAGGCTATCCTCATGGGGACCGAACTTGCCTATCAGCCTCTGCCCGGTTACTCTGTGTTGTTGTGCATCCCGGAGCCTGCCTTGGAGGACATTTAGCCGAAGATCAGAGGCCGAATGTCCTTGACCACTGAAGTATTTCCCCACTGGGAGGGAACATTCCTGTCTGGTGACTGTTGCATGGTGTCCATTCATCTGTTGTCATATCATCTGCATGGTCTCGCCAATACACCATGCCTCGGGACATCCTTGCCTGCAGTGTATGAGATCGACAACGTTGGCCAAGTTACACGAGTATCTGCTGTACATGTGCTGGGTGGTGTTCCCATGAGTGATGGTAGTGTCCGTGTCAAAGATCTGACATGTCTTGCAGAGGTTACCATGACAGGGCTGTATAATGTTGTGGTCAATGTTGTCCTGAAGGCTGGGTGGTTTGCTGCAAATACTGGTCTGTGTAAGGTTTGGTGGTTGTTTGAAGGTGAGAAGGCGTGGGGAAGATCTTGGCGAGGTGCTCATCATCATCGATAATGTGTTGAAGGCTGTGAAGAACGTGGCATAGTTTCTCGGCTCCCGGGAAGTACTGGGCGATGAAAGGTATCCTATTGATATCCTAAAGATATCCCATGTCTGTCTTCTGAGGAGGTCATTACGGTTTTTTGCTGTGGCATGTTGGAACTGGCAATCGATGAGTTGAGCATCGTATCCTGTTCCTATGAGGGTGTCCTTCAGGTGTCTGTCTCATTCCTCCTCACCGGAATGTATGTATAGGACTTGAATGTAGGGGATGGCTGTTTTAATACGTTTGGGGTGGAAGCTGGAGAAATGCAGTAGAGTGAGGTACACAGGTGTCTGTCCCTGATGGAGATGTGTGTGTCCAAGAGTGAGACTGATTCTAAACAGTAGTCCATGCTACGTCTGATGGTGGGATGAGACTTGTTGATATCACTATGTAGTTGTTTCAGTGATTCCTCGCCATGAGTCCAAAGGAAGAAAATGTCATCAATGTATCTGGTGTACAGCGTTGATTGGAGGTTCTGTGCAGCGAAGCAGTCTTGTTTGAAGACAGTAGGATCTGCAGATGCTGGAGAATCTGGGATAAGAAGGTGTAGAACTGGATGAACACAGCAGGCCAAGCAGCATCAGAGGAGCAGGAAAGCTGACGTTTTGGGTCTGGACCCTTCTTCAGAAAAAATTTTCTACACAGGCATAGAGCTGTGTTCATCCAGCTCTACACCTTGTTATCTCAGCCTTGTTTGAATCTGTGCATGAAAATTGTGGCATATTTGGGAGCAAATCTGGTCCACATGGCTGTTCCCATGTGTCTGGATGAAGAACTAGTTTTCGAAATTGATTGTTTAGTACATCCTCATCAGTGGTGTGACCCTTTGATCTTTTACTTATAAATTCTGTCTCTGATACACCCTCTCTCACTAACACCTGAAGAAGACATAAAACTCCGAAAGCTTATGTTTTCAACTAAACATATGGAACAGAGAGACACAGGAGTACAAGTATATAGTTTGTTGAAAGCTGTGTCACAGGTGGACAGGGTGGTGAAGGAGGCATTTAGCATGCTGGCCTTCATCTGTCTAGGCATTGAGTAAAGGAGTTGGGACGTTATGTTACAGTTGTATAAGTCATTGGTGAGGCCGCACTTGGAGTATTGTGTACAGGTTTGGTTACCCTGTTATAGGAAAGACATTGTTAAACTGGAAAGTGTGCAAAGAAGATTTACGAGGATGTTTTGTTTTATTCCTTAATGGGATGAGGGGGTCGCTGGCCAGGCAGCATTTATTGCCCATCCCTAATTGCCCATCGGGCAGTTCAGAGTCAACCACATTGCCATGGGTCTGGAGTCACATTTGGCCAACCCAGGTAAGGATGGCAGTTTCCTTCCTTAAAGGACATTAGTGAACCAGGTGGGTTTTTCCTGACAATGTTGCAGGACTAGTAGACCTGAGTTATAGGGAGAGTTTGGCCAGAATAGGACTTTATTCCTTGGAATGTAGGAGAATGAGGGGTGACCTTATTGAGGTGTATAAAATCATGAAGGGGATGGATAGGATGAATGCATATTGTCTTTTTCCCAAGGATCGAGAATTGAAAACTAGACAGCATAGGTTTAAGGTGAGAGGGGAAAGGTTTAAGAAGCACCTGAGGGGCAACTTCACGCAGAGACAGATGCATATATGGAATGGGCTGCCGGAGAAGGTGGTTGAGGCAGGTACAATAGCAACATTTAAAAAACAACAGGTTAGGTACATGAATGGGAAGCTTTAGAGGGAAATGGACTAAATGTGGGCAAGGGAAATGGACCAAATGTGGGCAATTGGAACTAGCTGGGTGGGAAGCATGGGCCAGTTTGGGCCGAAGGGCCTGTTTCCATGCTGTATTAATCTATGACGCTATGACTCTAAATCAGGATTAATGTTTCAGGTTGATTGACCCTTCTTCAGACAGTTGGAAAGATTTGGGAGTGTTCAAAATTCCGAGGTAGTTTGTTGAATTAAGTAAGGAGAAACTGATTGCACTGGCAGGACATCAGTATACAAAGGAACAGGTTCCAGAAAGCTAGCATAATTTCAGAAAGAAATGACAGGAATTTATTGATGTATCAAGTTAGGATGATGTGCTGTGTATGGGATTCATGGTGAGTTATTGAATGGTAACTGAAACTATCCATATCTGAGGTTGTGAACCCTCATCATTATGAGCAGGAACAGGAACCATCGTCAGAATCAGTCCATCACTGCAGAACACAGGCAGCACTTCAGAGCAGATTCCAGACCCAGAATGGCAGGAGACACTGACATCCAACTTCTCAGGGTGATCAAAGACCTACAAGGTAAAATAATTTCATTCACACCATCTCCTCAAGCTGCACCCGTGCACTGCCCGTGTTAAATCATCTAACACTGTTTACCCCTGCACTGTCCGTGTTAAATACTCTAACACTGTTTACCCGTGCACTGTCCG